CTTCTGCAGGTTCCTGGGCATGTGAGGAATCTGCCTTGCAGCATTTTTCCTTTGTGTCATCTAGAAACAAATTTGTAGAGCTTTTTCTTCTTTATTTCAAAAGTCAGAGTAAGCTTTACTTCTAAATTCAAGGCTCAGTCTGATCATCTTTCAGCTGCTCAGTGACGTATTTAAGTTTGTTTTCTTGTTGTCTTAGAATCTAAGCTTTCTTTACTTTTTCTTATTAGTATGTCTGGAATGACCACACAGAAAATCTCTAAATTATGAAATTAGAACAAACTGTAGGTTTTTCAAACTGCTGGGAAAGGTGCAAATTGTCCCATATTCATATCATAGGGGTATTAATTCTGAGCCTTAATGATGATAATTTCACAGTCTAGTTAACTACTTCACTATTGACCAAAGAAAGGAGAGGAATAAAGTTACAAAAAGCTATGCCGTATATTCTTTCTAACACTGTAAGTGGATAATACTTGGGAAAATACCACCTTTTTCTTCTTTTTCATTCAGAGCTGAAGGACCAAACACTACGATTAAGATCATGGAAGAATCCAAGTCCTTACAAAGGAAATAAAAACCTAAGAGCCCAACAGAACCTATGCAATCATGTTTTTAACATTACATACTCTTATTGTGTGTTTTAAATGGTCAGAACCTGATTATGTGCATATCCCAGAAATCAAGCGTATTTTCCTCCAAATTCAATTGCTGCCTAAACTTTGGGATATCTTCATTATATATCAGTATCTTTGCATACAATAGCCCGAATTCTGAAGTGATTTGCTCAGCGTACACTCTTTTTTGCAAAAAAGGATAGGAAATCCATACTTGCTGGTCAAGAGGTTAATTCTGCTGCCAAGAGAAGATTTCAATATTTTAGTATTTCCTCTTCTCAATGAGGGAATGGAAAGGTTGTTTTAAAAATTACTAAGTGTTCTCCAAAGAAGGACATTGTTTTTAAAAGTATGCATGTTATCTATGTGTAAGATAGTTGCTAACACTTGAAGAACATGGAAATCTAAGCTGCAATTTTCCTAGTTTCTTTGCTGGAGTACAGGCATTTCAAGAATTTAAGTTTTGAACTGTGATAACCATTCAGTTAGAGGGTTTATATAAATCTTCATAGAATCTTAGTAAGGTATAGACAATTGGAAGTGACGAAGTTCAAAATGGTTAAGAAGTGAGCCTCTATGGAGGTTATTTTCTTCTTCTTGAGATATTGTAATTAACTAAGAGCATATGTTTTCTGAAATGGGCCTATACCACCACTGCTCACATCCAATTATTGTTTTGGTTGAAGAGCACTGCATTTTTAAACTATTCTTACTCCATCATTTCTAATTATCTGTCTGTACTCTCAGCTTTTGGACAGATAGCCACCATTCTCTCAGTACAAAAACTGGAGACATTCTTTCCCCTGCCCCCCATGCTCAGATGCTGTAGTTCCCTCCCACGGGGGTTACCATTCCCCTGACCATGCCGGCAAAGCACTCTGTGAGCGCTGTCTGGTCGCTACAGACAATATCCAAGAGGTGAACCTAAAGAGCCAGTGAATGGCACAGACACCGCAACCTTGGTGTGGACATTGTGGACATAGCTACAGCAGTTCAGAAAATTATGCAATTGAGGAGGGGGAGAGGTAATTTGTAAGATTTAAAAAATCTACTCTGAATGTCTCTCTCTGCAGGTTAACAGAAAATGCTGGGCCTATTCTCGAGCTCTGAGGGAAAGCTACACCAGTCGACTTGTGTCCATATGACTCAAGCCCCTGCCCCACCAAAAGAGCCTTGCCAAAACTGCATATTGCAAACCGCTCGTGGTGAACAGCACCAGAGATCGGCTTCACTATTGCCCAGCATCAATGACCATGTGCAGTGCTCGAGCTGTGCCCTGGCCCAGCCTCAGCTACTAGGCATGGCCTGCTAGAGCTTTTTTTCATCTGGGATATGCTACGTGCTACTTGTTCTGCTAAATAAAATGCGTAATTTTTACACAGTACTAAATGAAAGCTTATCTGTGAGTTAGGGAAAATAATTCATTAATTTACACCATTAATTACATTTTAAAACAGCAGGCATATGTATGTTTCTTTTTGGAATTTCATAAACAACTTTTTAACCTTTAGGTAAACAAGTCCAAAATACACTGAAATGACTAAGTGTAATAATCCTTTCAGTGATCAAACATATCTCTCTGAATAGTCAAAGAAATAATACATCTTTGTATCTCCTCTTTTGAGCTGACAAAGTAGAATACAGCCTTAATGCCTTAGAATAGACAAAATATGTAACTTAGCTTACACGGCTGCTTGAATATTTACGAAAGCAAGAGTCAGCACAATAATGATGCTCTTATGTAATTTACCCTAAACGGTATGTACGAATAAACACTTACTTGTGATACAGACTCTAGCACTGCTTCATTTTGCATTGCTATTTATCACTTATTTATAACTGTTTTATATCACGTAAAGTATATTAATTTTTAAGTTGCAGTTTGTATATTTTCCAAATGTTAGAAATGGGTTACTTAATTCTATTCTTTTACATTTAAACAGCAGTAGGTTTAAAGGTGGTATCTGTCAAATTACCTGTTTAGACTGAAAACACTGTGTGGGAGGCTGGCAACAAAATAGAAACAGAAAAGAACAGTCAACCTATATGAAGAAAAAGTCATTGCTAATTCTGATTAGGGAACCGGACTGAGATTTAAGAAAATGGTGAGAATGGGTAAAGATCAAATACTAACTTTAATTTGAAACATGGGTTTCAATTCAAGCCCCTATTCGAGCCCAATTCTGCAACAAAGCCGTAGCAGAGCATTTCATTTGGTGGACTCTGAGCATGTTTGTCTATTGCCATAGAATATCTTCTTGAAAACACGACCACTATTACATTGGTACTTAACCATGAGCCTACACCTCAAGGAAAGAAATTGAAATATAAATTTGGCACACCACAATCACTTCAGCTAAATGGAAAACATTTATTATTTACTCAGATTCTTTAAAGTATCTGAACAACTGTCTAATACAGTTCACAGTTTCCATCATGTTCTCTTCTTTAATAAAAAAAGTGTTTTTGCAAATTCACTTATCATTTACGAACATTATTTTCTAACACAATATGATGGAAAATTTTAGTGCATTGCCGTGTTAGAATTTCTGCTGCTTATGTGAAGACTTTTGCAATATTGGCCAAACAAATAATCACTGAAAGTTTTGAGAGGTCAAGCTGAAAACTATTTCTGTTGAGAGTATTTGGACCACAGAGGTAAGAGTTAAAGAAATGCTTAACAGTTTACTTGAACATAAATCATTTAATTCCTACTAGTGAAGCTGTAAGAACACTTAGTCTTGTAGTACATTCATGTGTCACATCTGAAATTTCTGGAAGCATGGAAATAAAGATGTTTCAGTATCGTGTCCTTACTTGGCATCAGTGAAATCAGGCTCATCTTTTTGTTTGTGTGGTTGTTTGGGTGTGTCCCCCCCCCCCCAAGATTTTTCAAAATGTTTGACGACACTGAGGATCTGGTAATGCAAGTGCACTGCTAAGCAATACAATGAGGTATAGAAAGCATGGTCTGTTCATAACGGGTCATTACAATGTAAATGCGATGATTTAGGTCATTAAACCAGAACGTTCATGAGAAATTTTGTCCTAAAGACACAGACTGTAAACATGAGCATTGCTAATGGTTTAGCTTTGTCAGAACACTTTATTCGTATCAGTAACAGAAGCGTCAGATGTTGGTTTCTACTGTGCAAGAAACAAAATTTCTCCATTATCACTATTTAGAAGGGCAAAACTAATTAAAGTCTAGGTAGTTAGCCGGCTTATCTTTCTCTCTCATCTAAAAGTAAAAAAAAAATCAATCACACAGGCAAACAGCGATGACCACATGGCCAACGCTCCCCGTGACCCACAAGCTACCGTAGACTGGTGCAAGCGGTTGGACAACGGCGAACGAAGAGGACGTTTGCTAAGGAAGCACAAGCGGACCCGCGCAGAGCACCGGGGCGGCTCCAGCCCCTCCAGCCGCCGCCCAGCAGAGCGCTGCCCGCGCACGAGGGCCGGCCCTGCCCCGGCGTCCCACTCTCCTGTGGTGGTGGAACCACCCCCCGCGTCCCGAGACAGCGCTCAGGCGCGGCGAAAAACTCTGCCCTCACCGCCCAGCCTTGGACCCTCCGGCATCTCCCGGCCTAGGGGCCAGCGCAGGAGGAAGCGTTGCTCTTCCCACTGGCAGCGGTGAAGCCGAGGCAGCGCAGTGGAGCGTGGAGGCGGCCGGCTCTGCCGGGCCGCCCCGGCGGACTCCCTGTGCGGGGCGGGAGGACTCGTGCCGGCTGCCTGACTGTCACGGAGTTTCTTCGCCCGTTCTCCTGCCGTGCCTCTTTCAGGAAAGTTGCAGCTCTCTCCGGCGCCAGAAGCCCTGACAGAGCCGGGACAATTGAAGCCTCCCGCCTCAGCACCCTGTGCCCCGCAGGCAGGAGGCGATTTGCATGCGGACTTGTCTCTGGTACCAGCCACTG